GGGGATAGGTTTTTTTTTTTTAAAGCTATTTCAGAGCTAGTGTAAGGATTAAATTGGAGCACTTAAGCACAGACCACAAAGTATGACAGAGTGAGCAGAAGAGGGTAGGTTCTTAGTAAATGACAGTAGTATTTGCCCATTTAGTTTCCTATAAATATGAATATTTTGAGATACTTGATAGAGTCACAACCAGGTGAAAACGGACCTATGAGATAGATGATTGTTGGAGAGAAGAAAATAATTCATAAATTGCCTGGCAATACTATCTTGCATATTTTGCATCTTGTGACTTAGAATACAGTCTGTTTCCCATGGTTTTTTAAACTTTCTATTTTAAAAACTGCAGCCAATGCCTGATTACTTTGAGCTTATCTAGTTCTAGACTAGTTAGTTAGCCCCTTAATTTCTTGATGTACAACAGCACAAATAGAGAGAAAGGAAACGAATTCTGTAGAGACGGAGTCATCTTTATGTCCCATGGGGTACCTAGCACTTAGTATGTACTAAATAGAAAATACATCGATTTAATCACCGTTTGGTAACTCCGGTTTTAGAAATCTTGGGTAAGACCAAAGGTAAAAATGAGACTCTTTGAACCCTGTTATTTTGTTTTTCACTATCACTATCTCTAGCCAGCGATTTTCATAACTGAGTTCTGACTTATACATTACATCAAATGCTTGGAGTAGTGTTGAACAGAACACACATTGATTCAGATTCCTATTCAGAATGATGTCAGGTATGACCTTAATTACTAGAAGAATAAAACCAACTGCAAAATACTTCAGCATATTTTATACGTCTTGTGGGAGAAACAGAAGAGAGGATTCCAGCCTTCAAGGAGTTAGAAACATGTAAAATCAGGTTTAACTTGCATATTAACAACTTCAGAGAAACTTTAAAAGGCAAAAAAGGGAAGGCACAGAACAAGATCTAGAGGGTCCTGTTTGTTACACAGACATACACACACACACGTGTGTGTGCAGGGTTTTGCACAGTCTCTGAATAGGTATCCCAGACACCAGACACTAGTAACAGTGATCGTTTCTGGGTAAGGGCCGTGGAGGACTGTGGGGTCAGGAGTTGGAGGAACACTTACTTTTCAACAAAGAGCCTTTAGCACTATTTAAGTACCATTTCACTTCGCCTTGTTTAAAGATTTGAGGAAGAGATAGCGTGGGGAGCCTGCTGTGGGGCTTGATCTCCTAACCCTGAGGTCAGCACCTGAGCTGAAATAAAAAAAAATCAAATGCTTAACAGACTGAGCCACCCAGGTGCCCTTCACTTTTTCTTTTTGAGCCATGTCCTTACAAAATTAAAATGTTCTGGTGGTGAGGGAACAGTGAAGTAAAATGCTGCATTATCCTTTCTGAACTCAAGTTCAAACCACTAAGATGATATATTTTTTAAAGGAGGCTATTAACAATGCAGTAAAATGTTAATTATACAGATTTGTTGGAAAGAAGACTCAAACCAAGGGCTGTCAGATTTTAGCCCAGACTCTGCCATGAACCACCTACAAGATCTGAAGCAGGTCCCTTGTTTTCTTTATGATTTTTATTTGTGTGTTTGTTTCAAGGGAGGAGGGGCTAGGGACAAGACTAAATGGCCTTTGGAATTCTTAAAGTCTATGGTCAAAGTATGGTCCCTATCTATTTATTAGGTCCAAATTTTGTGTTACTTAAAAATTTTGCGTTACTTAAAAACATTCATTAGATTAGAAATAACCGGGGTGCCTGGGTGGCTCAGTGGGTTAAAGCCTCTGCCTTCCGCTCAGCTCACGATCCCAGGGTCAACAGGGAGCCTGCTTCCTCCGCCCCCACCCCCGCCTGCCTCTCTGCCTACTTGTGATCTCTCTCCCTGTCAAATAAATAAATAAAATCTTTAAAAAAAAGAAATAACCAAATGTCCACAAGTAGGAAACAAATTAATTATGAAAAATCCACTAACTGGAATACTGTGTTCATAAAAAGAACAAGGTCTTTAACTGCACAAAAGGAAAGGATCTTCAAGACATGTGTTAAGTAAAAAAAGCAAGGTGCTGAAAAGTATGCTAAGAAATACTGGAATATGCAAGCACTTTATACATATATGAATATATATATATATTTCAGTATATATAATTATATATATATATTTCAGTGAAAGGATTTACAAAAAAATAATAAAATTTTTATTTTTTTTAAGAGATTTTATTTATTTATTTGTTAGAGAGAGAGGGAGAGAGAGCGTGAGCACAGGCAGACAGAGTAGCAGGCAGAGGCAGAGGGAGAAGCAGGCTCCCCGCTAAGCAAGGAGCAGATGTGGGACTCGATCCCAGGACGCTGGGATCATGACCTGAGCCAAAGGCAGCCGCTTAACCAACTGAGTCGCCCAGTTGGAGTCCCACTAATAACATCTTTAAAAGTGGGGGAGAACAATATAGGAAGAGAGAAAATCTTAGGCAGGCTACACACCCAGCATGGAGTTCTATGCAGGTACGATCTCATGACCCTGAGATCTGACCTGGGCCAATATCAAGAGTCATTCATTCAGCTGACTGAGCAACTCAGGTGCCCCTCAAAACCAGTAACATTTTTACCGTCTATCAGTAGCACTGTGCTGCGGGATGCAAGGAAACCTCACCATATGCCATTTTATACTTTTTGAATTTTGTAATATGGAAATACTTTACCTAGTCAAAGATTTAAATTTTAAAAATTGGTTCATTCTATAAGAACATTTCTATTTTTAAAATGTTTAAAAAGATCTGCTCATTTATTTTAGAGAGAGTGCATGAGCGAAAGTGTGTGAACAAGGGGAGGACCAGAGGGAGAAGAAGACAAGCAGACTTATGACCTGAGCCAACGGCAAGGGTCCAGCCCTCAACCAACCAAGCTACCCTGGCGCCCAGAACATTCTTTTAAAATGTACGGACAGGGGAGTTTCACGGACAAATTCGGTGGAGCATGTGACTCTTGATCTCAGGTTGTGGGTTCAAGCCCCATATAGGGTGTAGAAATTACTTAAAAATAAAATCTAAAAAATTAAATACATACATACATACATACATATATACATACATACAATATTTTTCTTTTAATGTAGGGAATATAAACCAGGAAAACTGAGTGTTTTTAAAATCAAAGCCACTTAAAATAAAAGCCTGGCTGGCTCAAGTTGGTTAAGCGTCTGCCTTTGGCTCAGGTCATGATTCTGGGGTCCTGGGATCCAGCCTGGGTTACGCTCCCGGTTCAGTGGAAAGTCCGCTTCTCCCCCTCTCCCTGCCGCTCTCCCCAACTTGTTCTCTCTCTCTCTCAAGTAAATAAATGCTTTACATAAACAAACAAATAAATAAAATTTAAATAAATAAATAAAAGCCATTTCTAGGTTTCTTTCAAAGTGCTTCTAGGCACTGTGATAGCACCTGAGGTCCACTAATCATAATTCTTAAGGACTGCCTCTATGTATCAAAGATCAAGTCCATGGGTGCCTGGGTGGTCAGTGGGTTAAAGCCTCTGCCTTTGGCTCAGGTCATGACGCCAGGGTCTTGGGATCCAGCCCCATATTGGGCTCTCTGCTCAGCAGGGAGCCTGCTCCCCGCCCCCATTTCTGCCTGCTTCTCCACCTACTTGAGATCTCTGTCAAGTAAATAAATAAAATCTTCAAAAAAAAGATCAAGTCCAATCCCAGTAAAGGTTTTCTGTAGGGTTTTGTAAGCGTGGGTGCACTTGCCTGCACGCCCTCTCTACCATTCCCTTTATACTCATCTAGTCCTTTGTTCAGTAGTACATTAAAAGTGATTTTTCTCTAAGTTCCTAACTGTAGTTCCTAAGGTATTAAATAGCTGCTTACCTGGTACACTTTATATCCAGAAACTCAACTGTTGCATATATTTATTCCTTAAAAAGAAATGTATAAATGTCAGGTGGTTTATACACTGCTGGTTTAATCCGGTTATTTTTTTTTTATTGTGGTAAAATATACACAAAATGTACCATCTTAACCATTTTTTTAAAGATTTAATAATTAATTTATTTGAGAGACAGACAATGCAAGAGAGCACGAGCAGGGGTTAGGGGCGGAGGGAGAGGGAGAAGCAGACTCCAAACTGAGCGGGGAGCCCAAGGCAGGGATCTCCTGACCCTAAGACCCCAGGATCATGACCTAAGCCTAAGGCAGACACTTAACTGACTGAGCCACCCACGTGCCCCATTATCTTAACTATTTTTAAGCATGCAGTTTGCTAGTGTTAAGTACATTCACACTGCTGTGAAACCAATCTCCAGAACTCCTTTCATCTGAAAGGCTTTACCTATCATACAACTCCCTGTTCCTACCCCCAGCCCCAACCCCTGGCAGCCATACCTCTACTTTCCATCTTGTGAATTCAATTCTGTCATATGAAAAATGTCATATAAGTGGAACCATATAGTATTTGTCTTGCCGTGACTGGCTTACTTCACTTAGTGTAATGTCCTTCCAGTATTCTTTGTTCCAAGTATCTGCAATGCATGGTCTTCCTGTCTGAGTTAGTTTTTTAAAATTACAAATATAGGACTATGGAAGTATAGGACAGAAAAGGGGAAGAAATATAAAAACAGCTTAAATTTTTGGAAGTTTTGATCAAAAGTTCTGTACCATCTAAAAAATGCTTCTGCCACAGTGCCTGGGTGGCTCAGTGGGTTAAAGCCTCTGCCTTCGGTTCAGGTCACGATCTCAAGGTCCTGGGATCAAGCCTTGCATGGGGCTCTCTGCTCGGCAGGGAGCCTGCTTCCCCACTCCCCCGCCTGCCTCTCTGTCTACTTGTGCTCTCTGTCAAATAAATTTAAAAAATCTTTAAAAAGAATGCTTTTGCCTATTACTAGAAATTTAAAAAGAAAACTATCCATCTAAAAAAAAAAAACTATCTATTAGAGCATTCTTGCATATGTAATCTACTGATACAAAGAAAGAATGTAAGAGGAGGATATTCTCAAATGAATTTTATTTATCATTAAAAGATACAATCCAATCAGATTTTAAAATCCTTGGGAAAATGGGAAATTTTTGTTCCTTAAATCAAAATAAGCATATAAATATAAATTGTGGCATGTTAACAATGCACTGATTGTGTTAAGTTTTCTCTTCATTAGCGAGGTCACAAAGTACCCTTAAATACACAGACTTACACTTTCCAGTGTCCATTTCTGTGGGAAGTGTACTTACTTTCACCTTTACCCAGAGTATGCTAGGCGTTCTTTTCCACTTAGAATGCTGGAATGCTTTCACAAGGAGTCTATTTTAAAAACCAACTTATTTTAAAACAAAGTTCATTTGGAATAGCATAGTTTATTATGGCTTAAAATTCTGGCAATAAAGAAATTTATGACGTGAATCTGGAAAACTCTCCCCAACACTGACACAAACATACTTGGCAGAAGCAGCGTTGGAGGCCTGCTGGTCTGAGACAGGTCAGGACCCACACAGAGGTTTCCAAAACGAGGTTAAGGTATGTATTTGTGCTTTCATAAAGTTGGAAGCTAAATCTGTGGAAACTTCGGTGATTCTGGAAAGAAAAAAAGCAATTTTTATGTGAGATCATATTTATAAACAGAGTGGAACAATTCTTGATTTCCATTCTCTCTCTGGGAGTAAAATTTTCAATAGAGAAGTCACCCATAGACTGGTCTGGAGTGTTACAAATGACAGGCTTACAAAAAAAAAAAAAGGCTCATTAATAACTTTAATGTGGAAGGAAAACTTATAATCTACACCTTTTAACAAATCTTATATCTACTGCACATTAACTCCAGCTCTGCTATCTGTGTGGCACTGAGAAAATGCCTTAACCTTTCAATCAATATCAAGTCTACCTTCCTTGAAGTGGACACAATAATGGTGCCTACCTGATTGTTATGGGAAATAAGACGAGGCCTGTAAATTACTTGGTACAGTGTGTAGTCTATTATAAACACCCCCAATAAATGGTATGTTATTAATAAATGCCGCCACATCTGTGTTGATTCAAAATGAGAATATAAAGATATAAAGATATATAAAACAAAGGTGAATAAAATCTTCATGGTCTAGAAGATACCACGACAGTTTAAGAGCCAATGACTCCTCTGAGGATAAGAAGATCTTTCCTTAAGCACCTCATGAACTGGAGAGCAGTTTTTTTTTTAATTATTCTAGATCAGGGTTCCTCAACCTCACAGTAACAGTGTTGTGGGTGGGATCATTCTGTGTTGGGCCGGGCTGGCCAGTGCACCGTGTGTTGTGTGCGGCCCCTCTGGCCTTTACCCACCAAATACCAAATACCTCGCTCTGCGGTTTTGTGTTGCGGTGGCCTAGCCCTGTGAGCTTCCAAGACCAACCTGGGCATCAGCTTCCATCCCTGCTCACCTCAGAGCTCCCAATGGCTGCCTGTCTGGCCACGGGTCTGCTCAGGGCCTGAGCACCACCGCCTACACATTCTAGACTCCAGTATTGGCAAATGCCAGGCACCACGCAGGGGAATCTGAAGCTGGGATTCAGAGACTCTGGAAATCACCCATCTTCAGGCCAACGGACCAAGATGACAGGGCCAGGTTCTCTGAGAGCAGATTATTCCATCCTCAGGCCTGGGTGTCACTGAGGCAGAGCAAAGCACCAGGTTGGCTGCAGGTCTGACAGGCCAGGCCATGCCCCTCACCCTCTGTCCCAGGTCAGTTGCTCTTAGGTGAAGGCCTCCAGATGATGTGACTGGGGTCAAAGTAACTAACTCTTCCGCCTACCCAGGCAAACTGGGGTAGCTTTCTCTCTTCTTATATAAACAGTCACATAATATCCTTGATTTTGCTTCTTGGCCCACCGAGCCTGAAATATTTACTGTCTGGGCCTTTATAGAAAAAATGTGTTGGGGCGCCTGGGTGGCTCAGTGGGTTAAGCCTCTACCTTCGGCTTAGGTCATGATCTCCGGGTCCTGGGATCAAGCCCCACATCGGGCTCTCTGCTCAGCAGGGAGCCTGCTTCCCCCTTTCTCTCTCTGCCTGCCTCTCTGCCTCCTTGTGATCTCTGTCAAATAAATAAATAAAATCTTTTTAAAAATGTGTCAACACTTATTTTAGGTAATATGTATCTTATGGTCAATATAGAGCAATGCAGTCATAACATTTGGTGTTCCTTCTACCTAATGTCATCATAGTAGCAAAAAAAAAAAAAAAAAAAAAAGTTATGTACAGGTAAATAAACACCAGAAAGTGTTTTCCAAGATGAACACCCATGGAGCCCACACTTGGGTTAGAAACTGCTGCTAGCATCTAAGAGGTCCATTTTCTGCTCAGAACTAACTGGGAGAGACCTTGGCAATTATTATCTCATTATTGGCCTATTGCCATTTCCTTACAACAGAGACCACAGGTTTGATTTTAATACACCTTATCCTTCTTTACAAGCCTTCAAAGCTTCTCCCCTTACCTCAGCCTCCGAGTCCCAAGAACCCATGACTACAGCATCAGATTACCCTTTCCCAAGTATGTCCCCAGCAAGTCATGGACTTTTATGGCTCTGTGCCTTCTCGTTGATGCTTTTTCCCTTCGCATGGCATGTTCTTCCCATCTCCCTCACCCAATGAACGCTTACTTTGGGATCAAACTCAAAAAATCCCTCATGTAGCCCACACCTGTATTCTGAAAGGCTTGGACTAGACTTCAGTTACCACGTACTGCATTAGTTATTTCTTTTTTTTTTCTCCCCCCCTCCAATTTTTATTATTTATTTATTTATTTAATTTTAAATGGGGGTGGGGTGGTGGTTGGGGAAGAGGGAGAGGGAGAGAGAGAATCCTAAGCAGTCTCCACACCCAGTTCAGAGTCCAATACTGATGCGGTGCTGGATCTCACCATTCTGAGATCATGACCTGAGCCGAAATCAAGAGTCTGACCTTCAATCAGGTGAGCCGCCCAGGCACCCCTGTGCTAATTATTTCTGTGTCTGTTTCTTCCTTGATAAATAGTGAGCATGTGGACAGCAGAGGACTCTTACTTAACTCTGAATCCCTAGGACATAACGTGATTGACTAGCACTTAATGGAAATTCAGTAAATGTCTGGTCAGTAAAATAATTCTTCCACTAAGAATTACTAGGTAAACCCCTTTCCTTTCTTGTCTAAAATTTTCTCCTCTTTACAGTTGTTCCTTTGAGTTAGAGGACTAAGTCTAGAACAAAGCCTTCTGATGCCAAGGTCTGCATCCTTTCATCTCTATACGTGTTTACCAATATTTCTGGCAGCTAGTAAATGCTTAAGCCCCCTTCAAGAATTACATTGAGACTTAATTCAACCACATAAATTTCATGAAAGGATATGATTAACGGGAAAAAATTAATGATCTCTTTCAGTCATACTAAATCTTTTCCTTCCAGAATGACTGTGGTTTGTTAGTGTTTTGCTTTTTTATTTTTGTTTTTTAATAAAAATAAACGTGAGTCACTGAATATATTTCATTTTAAAATCTTGGGGTGCCTGGGTGGCTCAGTGGGTTAAAACCTCTGCCTTCTGCTCTGGTCATGATCCCAGAGTCCTGGGATCCAGCCCCGCATCGGGCTCTTGCTCAGCAGGGAGCCTGCTTGCCCCCCCCATCTCTCTCTGCCTGCCTCTCTGCCTACTTGTGATCTCTGTCAAATAAATAAATAAAATCTTAAAAAAAAAAAATCTGAGGATCCAAACTGTACAAAACCAAAAGAGCCAGAGTGCTCTGTCCCTATAGATTATCTATAGAATATATATGTGTGTGTACACCTATATACACTCTCTTGAAGGAGAACTCGAGAAAATTATAAGGAAATTAAGAGTTTGACATCACTGAATATTCAATTGTTCCCTACCCCGGAAATGAAACCAACCAATAGGAAATAACCTTGTGGATAACGTGTTGGTAGCATTTAAACAAGGAGCATTAACATAACCTCCAATTAGTGCTCTGCTCTCTACTCCCCCTCCAGAGTAGGTAATTTATGGAACAGGATTAAAGAGAAAGACCAGGAAATGGATACTCAGCGCGAATACCATCATAGCAGCACTTACCCGACTGAGAAGCAGGCTCACCAATTTTGACCTTCACATGACCTTCTCTACCTTTCTAACTGACAAGGGGTTGGGGAGTTCAGCGGAACTGGTCCTCAGTAGCCTCAACCGTAGAGTTCATTAAACAGGTTAGCACCAAGGGTCTTTCGATTTAGTAGAAAGCTCATGGAATTTACAAATAGCCAAATGGTTTCCAAAGTTAAGGATCATTCAAGTTTCACTACACACTTACTTTTTACCTTTAAATTGTTTCATTAGAAACAGTGTTTTTTTTACATAAATGTATTTTGAAAAGCAACGATCACTATTGCAAATAGAAAAACCAGTATGACTTGGCATAAATAGAAGTTATCCATTGAAATAACTTGAACATACGTAGTATTACATCCTAGCTGGTGCAGCTGTTGCCTACCAAAATGTTGGAGAGCTGTTGGAGATCACTAAGTCCACGCTAAGAATGCTCTCCTTGACAGAATCATGAAGGCTGCTCAAGAACCCAGAGGGCGGGGCTGCTGGGTGGCTCAGTGGGTTAAAGCCTCTGCCTTCAGCTCAGGTCATGATCCCAGGTCTTGGGATTAAGTCCCAAATCGGGCTCTCTGCTCAGCAGAGAGCCTGCTTCCTCTTCTCTCTCTGCCTGCTTCTCTGCCTACTTGTGATCTCTGTCTGTCAAATAAATAAATAAAATCTTCAAAAAAAAAAAAAAAAAAAAGAACCGAGAGGGCAGTAACTTACCCACTGAATGCTATTTCCTGCTGTGTCCCTGTACCACCGAAAATCATTCTGTTTCAGAAGCAGTGCTGAGTCCCTTTCCCCACCACACCCACAGGTCCTGATGAAATGTCTTAATGATCCTGCCCTTACAAAGCCTAAATAAAAAGAAAGCAATCTCACTCTGATAGAGTAGGTAAGACCTTAACCTCACTAGGTTTCAAAAACCTACCAAAGTGGATATAAAACAAAACAAAACAAAAAAACCTACCAAAGTGGAAAAGATCTAATCCCCAAAGGAACAGGCCATTTGCCTCCACTTGGTTTTTTCCAGCAGAAGGGATTGAGGAAACCATCAGAACCCAGACCCGGAAACGATCAAGGAATACTGCAGGTGAAGATTCTGCCCACGGACTTACTTGGCAGAGCGGCCTATGGCTGGGGTCTGGTTCTGTACTAGGGACGGCTACTTTTCATCTCTGAGGCAGGGGCGGTTGTGCTCTCAGGGGACACTGATTGCTGGGCCTGAGAAGCTGGAGCTTGGGACTCAGGGGGTGGGGACGAGGTGGCAGAGAATTCCTGACTTAGCTCCTGGCCCACTGGTGGCAGAGTCTCAAAAGCCTGTGCAACTGGCTTCTTCTGAAACTCTTGGACGGGCGCAGACTGGGTGGAAGAAATCTCTTGGACCGAAGAGATGCTCTGGAGGGTCTGTTGGTTGTGATAGAAGGCCTGAAAGTCCTGGACAGCAAGGGACATCCGAAGGTTCACAGGTTGGGCCTGAAAAGACTGGGACGTTGGGACCTGGATCAGAGACCCAGGGGGGGGCCAGGCCCTCTGACTGGGGAGCCTGAGCACCTGAAGATGAAGTTTGAGAGGCCAGAGGAATATTCTCCAGCTGGCTCTGGGAGGCCAGTGGGACTTGGAGGTGGCTCTGTGCAGCCGCAGACACCGGGAGGTGGCTTTGAGAGGCCAAAAGGATCTGGAGGTTGCTCTGTGCAGGCACTGGCACCAAGTTATGGACCTGAGAGGCCAGAGAAACCGAGGAGTGGTCCCAAGAGGCCACAGGCACAAAGGGCTGGTTCTGAGAGGCAAGGACCACTGTAGGTTGAGTCATTGAGGACAAGGGGACAGCAGGCTGACTCTCAGAGGCAACAGTGAGCAGAGGAGGGCTGGTAGAAGCCAAGGAGGCAGCGGACTGGCCTGCAGAGGCAAGAGTGGCCACATGCTGGCTCCTGGAAACACAGAGAGCTAGAGGCTGGCGGGTGGAGGCCGAGGGAAGGACAGGCAGGCTCCTGGAGGAGAGGACGGCTAGGGGCTGAGGCTGGTCGGGAGGAGACGGAGGGAACTCAGGCGTCACCATATGAGTGAAAAACGATCCTTTCACAGGCCCTGGCAGTCCGGCCTCGGCGCCCAGAGACCCAGCACCAGGCCCTGGGGAGCGAACTCCCTCTGAACTCACGACAGCTTCAGGTTTGGGGCCCAGGTCCTCGCTGCCCAGGTTTTGCGCGTCGCCGCTCTCCTGGGCACCTGCCGCTGCGTCTTTGCCCTGGTCTTCCTGCTGCAGCTGGTTTTCGGGCCGGGCCGTGCCGGTCATACTCAGAGAAGCAGATCTAAGCAGGAACGTCCTGGGAGCGCAGCGCCGCCGGATCCGCGTCAAGCTGCGGGACACGTTGCAGAGGGTGTGAGAGAGGCGCTGGCTCAGCGCGTTCACCGAGGTGGAGGACGGCACGTGGAAGGGCTCCTTCAGGGACTCCTCGACAGTCAGCTCGATGTTGCCGGTGTACCAGAAGACCCACCAGAGCAGGCTGAAGAAGATGATGATGGAACCCAGGTAGAGCAGCAGGTCGTAGAAGAGCAGGCGAGCGAAGACCCCGGTGAACAGCAGGGTCGCGCCCACCGTGTCGAAGACCACGCCCAGCCAGAAGAAATGCCTGCAGCGCCCGAGGCCCGTGGGCTTCCTGGTCTCCACGCTGTTTCTTGAAAGCTCCATGACCCGCCACTGCCGCCGCCGCCGCCGCCGCCGCCAGGTCCTCAGAGACCTGGCAGGCGGTGCAGCCGCCCTCCTGCCGCGGCCCCCGGGTCGCCATGGCAACGCCCGGGGGGGGGGGGCGCCGCGCAGGGGGCGGGTCGAGAGGACGGGAAAACGAGGCTCCGCCCCAGAGAGGGGCGCATGCGCAATACGCCCCGTCGCCCGCGCGCGAATCCTCACCGCATGCGCAGTGTTTCTGACCACCGGGTCACTCCCGTATTCCCCCAGCGCGGAGTCTGGCATGTGGGGACATGAGTGTGGGAATTTACGTTTTGGGACTGTGGGCTGTGCTCCCGCTTTGGGGGAATGAAGTAGCTGCATTCTTTTCCCCATACCCCTCGCGTTCTAGAGCAAGGGTGGGTTCCCGAAGGAGAGCGAAGGGCAAGGGCCCTCTTTTTTTTTTTTTTTTTAAAGATTTTATTTATATATTTGACAGGGAGAGATCACAAGTAGGCAGACAGGCAGGCAGAGAGAGAGAGAGGGAAGCAGGCTCCCTGCTGAGCAGAGAGCTCCATGCAGGACTCGATCCTAAGACCCTGAGATCATGACCTGAGCCATAGGTATGGGCTTAACCCACTGAGCCACCCAGGAGCCCCAAGGGTCCTCTTTTTGGTAACTCCTTCCCCAGCTGTGAGTGCAGCGTGGATCCCAGGTGCTGCCCCCTTCGGAGGAGGTCACGCGTTTTCTTTGTTTTGGAGAATTGGCCAGATTAGAATCTCCTGTTAAATCTTAGTTCCCATCTTATCCGTTTGCTGGTAGTGACATTCTTGTGCTAGTTAATACAAGACCTAGAAGTCAATTCTTTTTTTTTTTTTTTTCAAAGATTTTTATTTATTTATTTGAGAGACAGATCACAAGTAGGCAGAGAGGCAGGCAGAGAGAGAGGAGGAAGCAGGCTCACTGCTGAGCAGACAGCCCGATATGGGGCTCAATTCCAGGACCGGGCTCGATCCCAGGATAGGGCTTGACCCCAGGACCCTGAGATCATGACCTGAGCGGAAGGCAGAGGCTTAACCCACTGAGCCACCCAGGCGCCCCTAGAAGTCAATTCTTGAGGCTTTTTCCACTCTACATGTCCTTCCCTTTCATTGTTAGCACTTTTGGTCACCTGCTTGCCCAGACCCTTGGGAGTACTTAAATAGCAGCTTTTCCCACTAATCCCAACAGAGTAAGGTTGGAAGACTGTGTCAAAAATAGGAGGATCCACTGGAGCCCGAAAACTACAATAGATTAAAAATGAGCTCATTTGAAGCTTGAAAATTGGGCGTGAGAATATTAAAACTAGTATAAGACCTAGTGTCATTCAGGTTCTGTTAATAAAAAGTCATAGCCAAGCACTGACCTTTGGTCCCTCAGTTGTTAAAGGTCGATTTTTTTTTTAAATTTAAGATTTTATGTATTTACTTGACAGAGGGAGATCACAAGTAGGCAGAGAGGCAGGCTGAGGGGGAGGTAGGCTTCCTGCTGAGCAGAGAGCCCCATGTGAGGCTCAATCCTAGGACCCGATCTGACCCAAGCAGAAGGCAGAGTCTTAACCCACTGAGCCACCAGATGCCCTCGATTCTTTTTTTTAATAACCTTTTAATTTTAGGGGGGCCTGGGTGGCTCAGTTGCTTGGACCGCTGACTCTTAATTTCAGCTTGGGTTGTGATCTCAGGGTTATGAGATCAAGCCCCCAGTGGGGCTCCCTGCTCAGCTGGGAGTTGGCTTGAGGATACTTTCTCCCTATGCACCTCCCCCTTCTCATACTGTATCTCTCACTCTCTAAAATAAATATTTAAAAAAATAACCTTTTAATTTTAGAATCGATTAGATGTGCAGAAAAATTGTGAAGACGATATAGACAGTTCCTCTCTACTTCCATACACCCAGTATTTGTGATGTGGGGAGCAAAGGCAAAAGAAAAAAATTAAATTTCCCTAGAACGTACAGCCCACTGACAAGTCCTTGAAACAGGCAGAGTGACCTTCCTCTAGAAAATCAACTGCCTAAGTGTTACTACTTTGCTAAGGACAAAAGGCAATCTTAGCTTAACATTATCCCAATCCCTCTGGATCCTGTGGGTCTACTTTAACATATACAAATTCCTTTGGAAACTTCCTTTATCTCTCCCCCCCCCCCCAATATCTATGTTAGCAATCATCCTCCAAGCACATGGCCAAGTGATAGACATCTGAAGGGTCTGGCGACTGAGGGTTTACTAAACAGTAGTAAATGACCTTTTCCCAACAATAGCTGCCCCTTCAAGGTCCTGGAAACCTTGCTTCCAAAATTCCTTAGAGACTTCCATATCCCTGAACCCCTCCCAACTTGAAAGTATATACTCAGCCACCCTTCACAATCCAAGTGCAGCTTTCTGTTTACTGGTCCTATCCCCGTGCTTTAATAAAACCACCTATTTTCATCAGAGATGTCTCAAGAATTCTTTCTCAACTATTCACTCGGAACCCCAACATTTTCATATCATCTGTACTTTGATTTTTAAAATGTATTACAAGGGAGACTGGGTGGCTGTCCTTGGGTAGCCGGCCGCCTTTGGCTCAGGTCATGATCACAGGTTCCTAGATCAAGCCCAGCATCAGGATCCCTATTCAGCAAGGAGTCTGCTTCTCCCTCTCTCTCTCTGCTGCTCCCCCTGGCTCATGCTCTCTCCCTCCCATCCTCCCCCTCCCTCCCTGTTAATTTATAAAATTAATAAAATCTTTAAAAAAAAACATTACAAAGCAGCACTTTCTCTTTATAACTTTTTTTTTGGTAAGTGTTTCTAAAAGTTTAAGAAACAATGTTTCATGAACTTCTTGGTCAACCAATAAGACTACTTCTGAACCTAGGTACCCCAGAAATATGCTAAGGATACCTGATGTCACAAGATAAAACATGGTCCATGTTCCTACAGTGTCAATTTTCCTTGATAGCAAGTAGTTTAAAATACAAATATGAAAATAAACAGGTATAATGGAATAGAATATAAAATGAGAAAACAGATTGTATTTAACAAGTTAAATACCCAAGATAAAAGTTCATTCCTTGTGGCTATTCAGAAATATTAGACTATGTGGCTGACTTTACACAAAGACTCCATGTATATAAACATGGTACACCTTCAAGGAGGCTCAGTTTCTTAGTAGTAAGAAACTTCAGAATTTTTTTTTAAGATCTTATTTATTTATTTTAAAGATTTTATTTATTTATTTGACAGACAGAGATCGCAAGTAGGCAGAGAGGCAGGCAGAGAGAGAGGAAGGGAAGCAGGCTCCCCGCTGAGCAGAGAGCCTGATGTGGGGCTCAATCCCAGAACCCTGGGATCACGACCCGAGTCAAAAGCAGAGGCTTTAACCACTGAGCCACCCAGGCGCCCCTGAGCAAGGAGCCTGGTGCAGGACTCCATCCTAGGACTCTGGGATCAGAACCTGAGTCGAAGGCAGATGCCTAACAGACTGAGCCATCCAGATGTCCCATCTTTTTTAATTTTTTAAGATTTTATTTTATTTTTTTTAAAGATTTTTATTTATTTGACAGAGAGAGAGAGATCACAAGTAGGCAGAGAGGCAGGCAGAGAGAGAGAGAGAGAGAGAAGCAGGCTCCCTGCCGAGCAGAGAGCCCGATTCGGGGCTCAATCCCAGGACCCTGAGATCAGGACCTGAGCCGAAGGCAGAGGCTTTAACCCACTGAGCCACACAGGTGCCCCAAGATTTTATTTTTAAGTAATCTTTATACCCAAGGTGGGGTTCAAACTCACAACCCTGAGATCAAAAGTCAAATGCTCTACTGACTGAGCCAGGGCTTGCTTTCTTTTGACATTAGGGATACTTGATTAGAAAATTTCTGTTGAGGGGTGACTGGGTGGCTCAGTCTGTAAAGCATCCAACTCTTGATTTTGGCTCAGGTCATGACCTCAGGGATGTGTGTAGAGCCCCGTGTTGGGCTCAGTGCTGGGCACGGAACATGCTTAAGATTCTCTCTCTGGCCCCAACCCTGCCATCCTCACTTAAAAAAAAATCTGTTGAGAAATATTGCTATTTATATGATGCTGACATAAGAAAAACTCCATTTTGGGAGGGAAATAAAATAATCCCACAAACAAAAGACCCCTCTAGAGTCTGGGTGGCTCAGTGGGTTAAGCCTCTGCCTTCAGCTCAGGTCATGATCTCCGGGTCCTGGGATCAAGCCCCGCATCGGGCTCTCTGCTCAGTGGGGAGCCTGCTTCCCCTTCTCTCTGTCTGCCTCTCTGCCTACTTGTGATTTCTCTCTCTGTCAAATAAATAAATAAAATCTTTTTTTAAAAACCTACACCAATATAAAAGAGAGAAAAAAATTGTTGAGAAATTATTAATAGATGTATATGCATTTAAGGTAGCACAAAATCTTTGTGTTACTTTTGTTGTATTAGGACATGTGTCAGACTCCTGACTACAGAACCAACTCAGTGGCCTGTAAATACTGAGTAAAAAACTTTGTTCTTGTGGCCTGACAGCTTTGCCAAGCCTTCGTCTGGAGGTTATTTTTCAGTTCGTAAGCACTGAACCTTTTTTATATTCTGGATGATTCTCATGAAGGGCTTTATTTTGTTCCTTTCTCGTATGACATTTTAGCAAGGTTTATTTTACAAAGTACCCATTTATTGAGCATTTATTAGCATGCTATACTATTTTTTACAGACTTGGGCCTGTTCTGTGGAGAAATTCTGTTACAAATTTAAAAAAGGGAAACATTCACTCAGGAAATAAAGACACAAAATATCAGGACCTTCCTTTCAGGAAAATAAGTAGGGCATACAGCCAGTGCCCAGCCAAGTCATACTAGTTCCAGAGGTGAAAGGGAAAATGTGTGTCAGTACATTTATGTAAATATATATATATATATATATATATATATATATATATATAAAGATTTTATTTATTTATTTGACAGACAGAGATCACAAGTAGGCAGAGAGAGAGGAAGGGAAGCAGGGTCCCTGCTGAGCAGAGAGCCCAATTCAGGGCTCGAT